CGGGGATTCGAACCAGCGAGTCGAGCGCCCCATCCTATTGGATAATCGTTTTTATACTAATACGTTGATTCCTATTGACTGGGCTATTCCAGTTGTAAATAATATCCGACAGATCACTAAACTCTTCTTCCTACAACAACGCCCCCTCAGTGGTACAGCGGTAAGTTTCCGGACTTACAACGCTCGAAACCGGGTTTCGATACCCGTGGTGGGCAAAGCACAGATAGCCCATTGTCTAGCTTTGTGCTTAACTACAACCAAATCGTACAACCCCTCACACCCAGTGGCACAGCGATAAGTCTGAAGGCTTATAACGTAAAAATCGAGTTTCCATAGCTGTGGTGAGCACAGCACAGATAGTCCATTGTGTAGCTTTGTTCCTAACTAAGAACAAACAAATCTTCCTACAACGTTAATTCCGATTGACTATCTAAAGAGATGAATGTTTTATTAAAAGCCAAGTATAAAAACACCATATACATATATTATACAGTGCACGTATGTAATAAACCTGATTTGTTTTGATTTTTTTTTGTTTGTTTTTAGCCGCTGCACAGCGGCTAATAAAATGCCTCTGAGTTTATTTTTAAGTACAAACTTTCAGATCATAGCGCCATCTCTTGACCGATTTTCGATCTAATTACAGCCGCAGCTATTGAGGATTCCCTCTTGGTTTTGTTTTTGGTTTATCATTGTCCATAGTTAGTTATGAAAGTTGAAATTTCCCGAAAACGGTATAACGCACTCACAAGTTTTGAATCGAATGATAGATTGGGCTTAATATTTAAATATTTAGTATTTTACACGGTTTACATACTGAATAATTCTGAAGACTAAATTAGTGGTATCAATTCTGCTCACTCTTCAAATATAGATACTGTGGTGAGTAAAAACACCATTCCTATAGATAAGCGTATTAAGTATATATTTATAGTATTAACTCACTAACTTAATTACACCTGCCTATCCCTACAACCACAGTTTCCTAAATTCGGACACTTCTCCTGACCAAAGAGAGGGCGTAACCCTCTGCTGGTCTGCCAGTTTCCTAATTGGGACACTTCTCCTGACCGAAAGAGAGGACGTACCCCTCTGCTGGTCTGCCAGTTTCCTAAATTTGGACATTTCTCCTGACCGAAGAGAGGGTGTAACCCCCTGCTGGTCTGCCAGTTTCCTAAATTTTGGACATTTCTTCTGACCGAAGAGAGGACGTACCCCTCTGCTGGTCTGCCAGTTTCCTAAATTTGGACATTTCTCCTGACCGAAGAGAGGGCGTAACCCCTGCTGGTCTGCCAGTTTTCTACATTTGGACATTTATCTTGGCCGAAGAGAGGACGCAAACCTTTGTTTACCGACCAGTTTCCTTACTGGGTTTGGAATGGTATGACACTGAAAAACAACAACAACAACAAATGAAATAATATACAATAACTGTAATCAACTAGTAACTTTGTCACAGGTATTAATACATTTTTGATTTGTTTTTCTGACAAGTTTGATGAGCCCATTAATAAAATATACAACTGTCTTCTACCTTTAGCAGTTCTTATACCAAAGTGTAAAAGTGCTTCGTTTAAGGACTTTTCAATAAACACTGTATAGAGAAACACAGTTTTAATTACATTCATTAGGTACTATTACAAAAATACTTTGCAACAAAACTAGAGTTAATTTGTTCTTGTTCCCTCAAAATAAACCGATATGTTTTGGGTGTATAGTTTGTGATATTTCAACCAGACGTGGGCTATAAGACATATCAACTAACTTAGATCATCATATCTGTTTTTCCAGGTTAAAGTGCGTCGGAATGCCCAGCTTCTAGTTTAGTACATTGAAACTGCACGTTGCATCATTTTATTTTATATGGCCCGGCATGGCCAGGTGGTTAGGGCGCTCGACTCGCAATCTGAGGGTCGCGGGTTCGAATCCCCACCACACCAAAAACATGCTAGCCCTTTGAGCCGTGGGGGCATTATAATGTGACGGTCAATCCCACTATTCCTTGGTAAAAGAGTAGCCCAAGAGTTGGCGGTGGGTGGTGATGACTAGCTGGCTTTCCTCTAGTCTTACACTGCTAAATTAGGGACGGCTAGCGCAGATAGCCCTCGTGTAGCTTTGCGCGAAATTCAAAAACAAACAAACAATTATCATCATGATTATTCACTCTCGTGTATAATGTAAAATACACTATGAAAAGGAAGGCGGAGAAGACGATATATCACAATTCTCTAACTAGGATCAGCAAACGATCATTTAAAGCGTTGAGAATTCAGAAGTAGAGACTTATAATTCAAGTACATTAAGAGATATTTTATTGGTTCAAAAAGCCTGTTCTTTTGCTTAGGCAGGCTTAAAGCACAATGCATATTCTCCTGCATAAAGTAAAATTTAGCGGCCACTCTCTTACAAAACATTTATACAAAGAATGCGTGAAATTCGAATACAATTTTTGAAAAAATTACAAATGTGTGAACATTTTTAAGAAGCCAAATAATGGGCGGGTATTCATATGCATACATTCTACAACAAATTACATCAAATTTTTTACAGAATTTACTTTCTTTAAATAGTTAGAAAAGAAATTTACCCTTTACATTTGTACGTGTTCGATAGAGTGTACTAGCAAGAATTTCAATACAATTTCGAAATGAACCTCTAGTCTGAAACTGAAATTTCCAACCTAAACGGCAATTTATGTGCAAGTGGTCAAAAAGGTCAGGTCACAAACCCCTTAGGATTCAAGTATAGCCGTCACTAATTTTGAACTACTGATCAGAGAAATGGCAGCCTGCAGCACAAGGACTTTGTCCGACTTTTTGAATCGAATAACGGGGTTGGTTATCTCTTTTAGCGTGCAAACAACTGAAGGTGCGAAGGGTGTTCAGCATAATCAAGTCTCGAACCCCAGACCCTTCGATATACAACTTGTTGGCCCTAATCTGTTATATTAATGGCATAGATTGTAGCTAACACTAATCCTTGTTCCATTCTTCTTGTGTAATAACTCACATTTTTTTGTCATCTTAACAGCTATTAAATGCTTACTTCATTACTTTTTTTTTACTTGTTGTAACTACATATTATTTTAGTCCGCCATGTTAGGGTTAAAAGTGATACGGTAATATGAGTGTAGCACTTTCTTTGTGTCAAAAAGTGAAGATAAAACACGTATCATACGATATATAACTTATATAGAATATTTCAATTTGTAGTACGACAATTACTACGTCTCTACAATAAGCATTATAACACAACAGGTAATAATTAGTACCTGCGGACTTTCCTCGAAATAATCATGGAAGACAGAAAAAAGAGATTTCATGAAGAGTTTGATAATCACACAAATACAGAGTGTAAGTACAGCACGTTGTAACTATATTGTAAGTACAGCACGTTGTAACTATATTGTAAGTACAGCACGTTGTAACTATATTGTAAGTACAGGACGTTGTAACTATAGTGTAAGCACAGGACGTTGTAACTATATTGTAAGTACAGGACGTTGTAACTATAGTGTAATTAAAGGACGTTGTAACTATAGTGTAAGTACAGCACGTTGTAACTATATTGTAAGTACAGGACGTTGTAACTATAGTGTAAGTACAGGACGTTATAACTATAGTGTAATTAAAGGACGTTGTAACTATTGTGTAAGTAAAGGACGTTGTAAGTATAGTGTAAGTAAAGGACGTTGTAACTATATTGCAAGTACAGGACGTTGTAACTATATTGTAAGTACAGGACGTAGTAACTATAGTGTAAGTACAGGACGTAGTAACTATAGTGTAAGCACAGAACGTTGTAACTATATTGTAAGTACAGGGCGTAGTAACTATAGTGTAAGCACAGAACGTTGTAACTATAGTGTAAGCACAGGACATTGTAACTATGGTGTAAGTAAAGGACGTTGTAACTATAGTGTAATTAAAGGACGTTGTAACTATAGTGTAATTAAAGGACGTTGTAACTATAGTGTAAGTACAGGGCGTTGTAACTATATTGCAAATACAGGACGTTGTAACTATAGTGTAAGCACAAGACGTTGTAACTATAGTGTAAGTAAAGAACGTTGTAACTATAGTGTAAATACAGGACGTTGTAACTATACTGTAAGTACAGGAAGTTGTTTCTATAGTGTAAGCACAGGACGTTGTAACTATAGTGTAAGTAAAAGACGTTGTAACTATAGTGTAAGTACAGGATGTTGTTACTATAGTGTAAGCACAGGACGTTGTAACTATACTGTAAGTACAGGAAGCTGGAACTGTAGTGTAAGCACAAGACGTTGTAAGTAAACTGTAAGTACAGGAAGTTGTTACTATAGTGTAAGCACAGGACGTTGTAACTATACAAATGAATTTCGAACGTAGTTAAATTTCTATCATCTTAGTCTGAAATAATCAATCATTTGTCACCTCAATATTTCCTTTAGCGCCAACCCTGTGTAGTAACTTTTGTTCCATCATGAATATCATTTCACTTACAGATATTAATGTTAATACTAACAACGTCCGACTAGCAGTAGTCCTTAATCAAAGCAATTTATTACCGATAAACATCACGAGCTCAGCTAATAGTAAAACAAGCGGGTTTTCTGAAATATTATAGAATACTTTATTGCGACGTCAATGTGTATATGTATAATATAAAAAGCAAATATACTGAATTTCTTTCCTGGCCATAAGAATCGCAACTCAGTGTCTATATAACTATAACGTCTATATAACGGTGTCATCATTTATACATATATATGTATGCAGTTACAAACACACAGATAAAGATATAAATACGTGTGTGTACAAATCGTGTAATATGGAGTTCTTAAACTTATAGTATAAATAAGTGTGGTTCGCATTTATATATTTACCTGTGTTTTTGTAACTGCATACAGCAATCTGGTGACTAGAGTAATATGGATTTCTTAAACTTGTAGTATAAATAAGTGTGGTCAGTCACCAGATTGCTGTATGCAGTTACAAACACACAGGTAAATATATAAATGCGTGTGTATACAAATCGTGCAATATGGAGTTCTTAAACTTGTAGTATAAATAAGTGTGGTCAGTCACCAGATTGATGTATGCAGTTACAAACACACAGGTAAATATATAAATGCGTGTGTGTACAAATCGTATAATATGGAGTTCTTAAACTTATAGTATAAATAAGTGTGGTCAGTCACCAGATTGCTGTATGCAGTTACAAAAACACAGGTAAATATATAAATGCGTGTGTGTACAAATCGTATAATATGGAGTTCTTAAACTTATAGTATAAATAAGTGTGGTCAGTCACCAGATTGCTGTATGCAGTTACAAAAACACAGGTAAATATATAAATGCGTGTGTGTACAAATCGTGTAATATGCAGTTCTTAAACTTATAGTATAAATAAGTGTGGTCAGTCACCAGATTGCTGTATGCAGTTACAAAAACACAGGTAAATATAT